GGTCTAGTAAACGGTCGTGCCTACCATCTCTGGACTTATTGTCTTTCTGGGTTAGCCTCGCGGTAAAAGGTCCTCAACAAGCCGCAAGCGCCTGACAAGTAAATTAAACACGTTATTTTCAAGTGTTACAAAGGAGCCTCGACTATTAATTGATAAAAGGGGCTCTGTCGCCGCCGCCGCCGCTAGTCACTGAGATTTGAAGATAGCATCTTTTCTAGGTGACGCCAGAACCCTTGTTCTCACAATGAGACAAGAAGGTACGACGTCTGACAGGTCTGACCTTCACGTAGTAATGGAAGCAGGGCCACCCAATCAGGTTTCGTCAGGGAAGTGGGCATTGTCCAGGCTTACTTTTGCGAGGCGAGGGGGCTGTCCATGCCTGAGAGCGCTCATGCGAATCACGTAATGCGCCCACGTGATAATGTAAGCATAGCCTGGCTAATGTCAAACGCAAAGAACTTAGATTAATTAGCGAAATTCTCAAGCCACTTTTGCTGACTACATCGACGAGCAAATGATTAGCTCGGAGCGGGCTGTGCACACGTGTTCCTTTTCTCATACATCATTTACAAGGCCTTGAAATTGAATGTTCATGTTACTCTTAACTATTTTACATGATTACCCCTGGGAAATCGGTGAAGGAAACCGCTGGGTTTACCCAGAATCGAAATGGGGACCAGGTTCTTTGTTAATACAGTTGTTTCGGTGGGCTGAAGGGGTTTTTCAAAAAAAAGCTAAAGGAAAATTTTGTCTATAGTTCCAACAACGTTGAGTTTTCTCGTAAATTCAAGTTACTGACTCGCAGAGTAAAGAGCAGAATGTTTGTCATAACCTAATTTTGTTTAAACGCATCATTTTCCAATTTTTGCTAAATTCCGTGTCATTTACGGCCACTTGCGCCCAGCAGAAATTATCCCAGCTTTCTGTATTCTGATTACCCAACCAGGTGATCACCCGTCATCAATGTGGAGCACTTAGAGACGGAAAACGGGGTGGAGAGTGGTAATGCAGGCCGGCGCACGCCTTTATCCTCCCTGCGCCCCTCACCTCTAGTGAATCCCGCCGAGGTTGATGCGCAGGCAATGTGCACCCAGCCAGTACAAACGGCTCGGCCCAGGCGAGTGGTGCACGTTTCAGAGATGGTACCCGAAGTGGTGGTGCCTCCTTTGTCCCTTTAATGACGCTTAAGCATTAACAGTGCACGATATGTTACACGCGTAAACCGTCGCTGGCTCGTTCGCAAAATGCCTTCGAAAAATTCTGTTACGGGCAATTTTTCTACGCAGGCATCATGAAACAATTGTTTGGAAAATGTAGCATTCATTTTCGGATAACCGCATAACTTGGTGTAGTATGGTTGACATTGAAACACCGTTTAAGGTAATTAGCTGCTGATTTTATAAGCAGGATTTTAACAAATAGTGCAGTGCTTGGAGACGAGTACATATCTGTACTTGTGAGGTCTTAAACACATAAGCTAAAACAAAATTTAGGTGGCATCGTGTCGTATCATAACAAAATATGTGATGCACATACAATGGTGACAACTTAGAATTAAAAGTGCCATTAGAAGACTGACAGCCAAGGAAATGGAAAAAAGATGCTAAAACGCGTCCCTCATCTAAATGTCGAAAAAAAGCAAGCCGTACTTTAAATTTTGTGTGGATGGCCATTAAAAGTAAAGTATAACCCCATAAAGTGTCAAGTACTAGATTTTGTGGCATCATGCGATCCATCAACTCGGGGAGGGAAATGGAAGAAATTGGGACACCGGTGAATTCGGGCAGAAGCCGAGCGTTTGTGCCACCCACGGCTTGAACTGGCGACCTGTTGCGCCAATGACAAGCCCTCTATCACTGGGTGGCGAACTGCAACTCAAGTCGGGGGTGGGGTCCGGGGTGGCAGAAACCGTGGTTAAATTTCGTGCCCAGGCTAAAGAAATCTCGATGAGGTCAAAGCAACTATTAACAGTTCCCCAATGTTTGCACTTAGGTTGAGGTTTGATTTGGGTGAGATTGATGCTGATCTCGTGTAGTCCAACAGAAATGAGTAACGCGACTAAGAGGAACGAGGGCTGTTAGGGCGATTTTGAATTCTGTGACACTAAATATTTCCTTTAAGTATGCGCGTGTTAGGTACAATTAACTTGAAAAGGCTATTTGCTATTTTTGAATCAAAATTTTTATGAAGCTGGTGTAAACGGACAATTACATGCAGTTGATGCTACTTCTGTAGCTAAAAAACCACTTGAATTAATCAAGATTTCTGGAACTAATGTAGGCAAGAAACCTTACGACGTGGAAAGGGTCGCAGAATCAACTAAAGGAACTGATATGTGTGCTTAAACTGTGTCTAAAAGTCTGTAGGACAGCGGTCGCAGTGACACTTGGAATGTGCAATCTATTAGCATAATCAATTATAATGAAAGATCTAGGTAGAAAAAAGAAGGTAGCCTAGTTAGTTCTCACAAAATTTCTTTGCTTAAAATGAATTCGAAAGACTTGAAATTGTAAGCCTGTATGGCATCATCTCTGGGGATTTATCACAAGTTCGTCAGATGGTTAGGCTTAAATTACATGGTAGTAAATCTATTCAATGCTGACCGTAGACATTTGTAGCTAACTGCTTGTTTTTCAGGTTAGTCCTACTCACCACCTTGGTTAGAGCCTGGCAGTCTACGTATTGACCCGGCTTCTTGAAGGTTACTCAACAACCAATGTGCTCAGATTACCATTGTGTAGTTTTTAACACACACGAACACATCTAAAACCTGGTCAAATACACAGACTACCTCACCATCACCCACTGTCTTCTTTCCGGGAAATACAACGCCACAATCCACCAATCTGTGGGCATTTGATGATGTATTAGCCTACATAAAACAAAACGAACTATTCTTAAAAGTCACGAGCAGCAGCTGAACCCCTCAATAAACTCACTGTAGTATTTTGCGGGGATCTCCACATCAGCCACCGTTCAGGGAGGTCAGGGGCAGGTCGCTTTTCTGAAGGTTTCCATTTCAATCATGTTAATGCTCAGATCCGTTGCAGCAACTGCCCTTCAAACATGCTGGCTGGAGGTTTCAAGTGAGGCACGCCCAATTTCCTAATGAACTCGAACCTCTTCAAAGTAATATCGCTATTACGTTTTTTTGAGTCCACTAACCACAACAGATGATTGGTCAAACAGCAAGATATACGGCTTATACTAAGGTTCTGCGTAATGAGTATGCATGCTACGACTACTTTGATTCAAAACCGAAAATTCGCATTCACCGTTGGGGGTTCGCTTGGTCAAGACGCAGCTACGAACTTGCGATAACAACACCCGGTTCTTCACACGATAGCCGTCAATAGGTAGTAGAGTTTGCAATATACAGAACCGTAAAGAGAGCGAATGGATCAATGACCAATATAATCCGATGTAATAGAAGGAGGCGAATGAAGATAGTTGGAAGTGCATGTCTCAAATTGACGCATCACCTGTCGCCATTCTACCACTCCATTCACTCTGTTGCACAATTGAGTAAGTCATCAAATACTGCCAGGTGGTTAATTTTTCATGACTCCCTTGACCAGAAGCGTTTTGAGCCCGACTGTGAATGTTTCATGAACTCAGTCTAGTATTGCGATCGAAACAGCTGTTATCCAATCATCGCCACAGTCAAAATCAACATTTTCAGGCAACTGGAACCACAGCTGTACAGGCCTGACACTGTCTCTTGAATCAGAAATCATCGTGGGCGTACTCTGCTGGCCTTATACATGAAACTGGTAAATTGGCCATCTGTCATGGATGGCTTGGTTTGCCAAAGCAGTCGGCTCGTCAAATGAAGCAATGGATCAGTTTTACGGCTCCTCCCATGGTGCCAGGTGAAATAGCTGTATTTAAGCGGATTATCAAGAGCAGTAAGTAAAAATATTAGCAGGCAGGGGTGTCAGCACATTAGCTGAAGTTGGGCCCACGAATGCTTGCATCACAATGGTAGATAATCGTATTTGTGTCAGTAATAGTATTGACGCTCAGGAAACAAACGAACCTCCCTTGGATCGAAGAAAGACCCCAAACATCTCGCTACGTGCCGACTTAATCACGTCGAGGAGAATTTGCCTGTGGCGCCTTAGGGTCCAGACAGACGGAACAGCGGTTGGGCCAGAGGGGGCGTGGTGGCATAAGATTAATTTGCCACAAAACATGGTCCCTTAGAAACTCCCTGGTGGGTAAAAGCAAGCAAGGAAAAATTGTCAGTGGAATCGAAGCGGCATAAGCGTGAGAAATATTCTGGTCTCGAGAATAAACGCAATGACGGTGGAGGTTGGGTCCGGAGTGTTTTCAGAATTGCATCTTCCACAGAATTGGTTTCAACGCAAGAGCAACGTGTCCTGAGGAAAACGGCGAGGTAGTTATGAGGTGCTGAAGTTGAACCGGTATCAGTCAATGCATTTACCAGGTTGCGTGTTACTTCAATCTAAACATGACGCAGATGTGATCGATTTATGAGAACGACAGAATCATAGGTTAGCCATTGGCAGTCAGAACTCGCTGGGCAATTGTCCTGTTGTGAAAAGGAGTTGGCGTGTTTGTCGAAAATGACAGAGATCGTGGTCCTTGTTGCACAAGAAAAATTGAACATGCGAGCAATAGCACAGGCTGTCTGTACTCTTCGATGTGCACTTGTTAAGGGGATGACTTGAAAGCCCTGGGATGCAATTAGAGGGCATTTTTTGAAAAGGCCATTATCTGATAACCAAAACAGTCAAAACAACTTCTGGCCACGTCTGTCATGTCTGGCGTCTCGTGCATGAATCCGAGAATTATTTGGGTGAATTTCCCCGTGGCAGTACATTGCTATTGATTGCTGCAGACTTCTTTCTTGTTAAACTAAGCCAGCTTATCAATACAGGCCATCAGCCTTTTGCAGGACCTCGTGTAACCCGATTGCCTGAAGGCTCGCGTCTGCAAAAACTACTAAATGCCGACGTTAAGGAAATGTGTTTTCGACTTTATCGCGACAAGAGCGGAAGAGTGCATGTAATGTTTGCTTCCGCTACCTGTCTAATCTAATCGCTAGGCCACAGAGGTGGGTACTGTGCGCGTTCTGCGCCGTGCACCCTTAGTCAGAGGTTGTCTGAAAAGGAGATCAATGTGAAGATGATTCTTGATTAGCATCACATGACCAATGATTGCGGAAGAATGCCAAGGTGCGCATGTAATGGCATTGCGTGTAGTGACTATCATGTACAAGGAGGTCTTGTATCACTTTAAATCCAACATGAACTCGCGGAGCCAAAAAACCTTGAGTTTAATACACCGGTTTCTCGTCGTTGGTGAAGCAACACGACGGACTAATTGATGTCATTTATGAAACAGTCACACGGGGTCGGACTGGACAAGCCAAGGGTAAAACAGGAATGTGTTGATGTGAATCAGCACTACATGATTCTAATAGACTGGGTGAATTGTATCCTGCAGTATGCAACTTAAATGCAACGTCAAAGAGGATAATCAGAAACGAAGTTGTTTTAGTGCGCCAAATTCAAAAATTTAAAGGTTAGGCATCATTGCGCAATCGTCGACTGCCACTGACCTCATGAAACGATCGCGTGGCTTTGCCATTTAGAGGTCGGTCCGAGTTGCTCTTTCAGAAGTACACGATGTTCTTTTTCATCCAAAGCAATGGGAGGTTTGTGGTTTTAATGACATCAGTCGTCAAATGGGTCATTACAGAGGGACACACGAATTCACCTCCGAATGGACGGGGCTGTTTGACGACCTCATCCAAAGGACACGGTTCTTCCTCAGTGTGCCTTAATCGGTCGGTACGGCTCATGGAGGCGTCACCAGGGCTTGTAAAACTGAAGACGTGAATGGTGCGTGACCTCCTTGTCAAAGAAGCACGTCTCTCTTCACTTTACTAAGGTCCTTCAGAAATCAATTTGCCACAAATCCATGAGCTATACTTGTCTTTTATTCTATAGTCGGTGCTAAAAGCGTTTTTCGAGTCATGAGACAAGTGATTTTTGTGCACCGCTTAGAAAACAATGCCAATCCAGCTTATTACAAGTAAGTTAATTATTAATTTGTGTCAGAATTTAATGGAATCCACAAGCCAGGGGCGTGACAAACCACAGAGATAGGGAAAGCGAACGAATCCGTGCTGTTTTACACACACACGCTTTGCGAACACCTTGCATACTGCCTCACCAAGACCGCACTTAAATCCACATGCTTTTAAACAAACACCGTGTCTTATCATCTTAGTGGGCGGTTAGGCATAAAGATTTTATGGTTATTGCTCAGGGGTTTTAAGATCACTGAAAATCGCGACACACAAGACGGTTCTCAGTAATGCTGCCGACTAAGAGTGAACGCCGTGCATAGCGAGCATGCCATTTGGTTGATTCGTCTGGTGTACAGGTGCACGGTGGCCGTCTGGGTTACAAATAGCTCGCTTGGAGAAAATCAGTATGACACAGGAATATACGCCAGTACACTTCCGAGACATTAAATGCACAGATTTACGGCCACTAAACTTTTGACCGAAATGTTTAGATGATATAATACCGTGTGTGTAGAATATGATTGTTTGCCTCAACAATATTTTGTTGAAGTGAAAAGTGACATGGTCAGATTTATTCAAATGTGACTTAGTTTCAGTTTAATCAAAGGTCAGAGGGAATTTAATACATAATTTTGGGTTCGAATCGAAAGATTTTGAGCGCAATCACAAATTATTACTCTTATCCCTGAGAAAATTCACTTTTTAGGCAGTAGAAATAACTGAAAATGTTAATGAAATAATCTGTTCCAAACCTTATTAACAGATATATCCTTGGCATTTACCCCAAGTTTTCGTGTACAAATTCACATTTTAAAGGTGACTTACGCGGTACTAGCTGACGTATTTTACTTCTAAAGGACATTCTTGATCTAGGCACTCCGTAGGGGAGTGAGACAACAAACCGTCTTTTCTAGCGCGGATGTGAAACGCACGCTTCGCTATAATGACGCGTAAAGAAAATCATTTAAGCTACGTCTGGAATTAGCATCGTTGTACGTCACATTTAACGATAGATGTTCTCCGCTTCAATGTTACTTTAAACACATGTCTAACTTGGGTAGGCTTTCTTGTGTCAGTTACCAACATCTTTTCTCTGTTTCTAAAAAAAACATCACGCTTCTAAATTAGTGTCACTGTCTGAGAACCTCTGGGTAGATAAAGGGAGTTGTTTCAACACGGAGATCTTTCAGCTAATGGCACAGTTTTTCAGGGTTCCATTTTCGCTAAAAGTGCCCAATATTTGGCTGAGGTTTGAGTCAAAAATCTCTGCTGGAGGGAGTCCACAGAGTTGAAGCAGTCACAAAAGAGTGGGCATTCGGAGTTGCAACGCGCTGACACCAAGTAAATTCACCATGATAAACTGCAAATCTTCATGGTGTGATACAACTGTGATTGGCTCATTCACGACTGCAGCCCATTCAGTGGAAAGTCGCCGTGCGAAAACTACAAAAATAGGAGGAGGGCCAAGAGAAAAATGGAAGTAGAGATGAATTTGTTTGGTGATGTGAGAAGGGTCAGTAAATGCATAACTTATTCTCAATATTTTGTTTGTTAAATGTTCGAAAAGACGCAACGCAGGGAGGCTCCTGGACAATGTGCTTTAAGCGATGAATATAATTAACTTAAAAGCTCTTGTCACTATTTGTTGGAGCCTGCTTTAGCCATTTAGAACTGGCAGCTTCGTTAAGGCACTAAAAAACTCACGAAAACTCAAGCATTGCAATGAGGCTTGGGATGCCAAAAAAGTATTTTTATTTAGCCACAATTCGAAATTTGTGTTTAGCACTTTTGTGTACTTTGTACACGAAGCTAATGAGCCTGAAATAATTACTGAGCAGAAATCAGCAAATAAAAAATCGATCCATGAGTTGTATTACAGTCAAATAATTGAATTTTAAATCAATTTTACCTTTTCTGAGTGATTGGTTTTCACGAGTCGTATAACTGCACATTAAGCCAGGGTGTGGATCGCCAGCAACTTAGTGACGCACCACGGCATCAGAACGAACCTTTCCGTTTAAGCACCAAAACGATAAGGCATAAAACTAATAAATTTGACAAAGTGCAGCCTTTCTCAGTGTAGCCAAGCTTGAACTGCTTTACTGAAAATACCTCATTTTTGGTTGCTCCGGTCACAACCAACTGCAAGCTTGAAAGGTCACAGTCAAGGCCCTTGAATTTCAATTTTTTGCACCACTAATGGCAAAAAAACTAACATAATTTTAAAACTATATTTAGGGGACAAGGTAGTGGTTGGAGATTTGGCATCTTGAGGTTTATTAAAGTGTGAAAGTAAAGCCTATTAAATGACATTCATATTCTAAACAAATCTACTATCTGAAAGATATTACCGGTTTGCACCCAGTACTCCTATGTTGTCAACCCCAATTAATCCCTTGGTAATACTGCTTCCGCCTGAAGTAATAACTATATATATTTTGGTAGTGTCTCAAATGTTGCCAAGTCTTTAATTATTATCGCGATCAATTGGCGAAAAAGTGGGATTTTTGAAGACGAATTTGAATAGTTGGTATAAATTACATAAAACCACTCAGATATTGTTATCGACAGTTTAATTTTTGTTGCTGCCTCCAGCTTTTGTGCGACAAACGCAATTCTTCTTTCTCTTCAAGATGGCAAAAAAATGTCTTAATTTGAAAACCGAAAGCATGTGAATATTATGCCTAAAAGCGGCATGAAGCAACCAAAAGGAAAATAACTAGCAAGTCTTTTGATCCATATTACCATTTCGTCATCCTAAAAGGTCTGGGCTGATGCAAGAACGTTGATTATAGGGTAGAGTGCGTGCTGCACTTGAACCCTTTCCTGCATGAACCCTAGAAGCAATTCGAACCAATGGCTAAAACTACAATGAAAGTTGCAAAAGCACCAACCTGGCTTAACCCACACTAAAGGGGGCAAAATGACCACACGCTAGTCTTCAAGTCCGGCAATGCCCATTCAAACCACTTGGTTTTAAATCAGTTCGCCAGAGAACAATAACCTTGGTGAGGTCCAAAAGAAAATGTGAGGCAATTATTGGTGACCTCTCTGCGTTCTTATCTTGATACAGCTGCTACTTGTGATTAGGTTGCCGCACTAATGCACAATTTCGACGCTAGGCAAGCAAGCTTC